TACCCTTTGGTCCTCCAGCTGCTTTGAACTTCAGTTTCCATAAATACTAACCCAAATGACCGTTTTTGGGAGTTGAAAGATAAAATATCTGCAGAACTGAAGACTGATAATCCTTGTCTCAACCAGTTATAAGGACTCCACTAGATGTTAGAATACAACTTCCATCATCCTCACTACTGGTACATTGAGAGGGGCCTTCCTATTGCTAAACTACCCGATTTAGCATTATTTCCTTCACAGAAATTCTGGATTTTCCACAAACCCCTATGATAAAAGAGGATGAAATGAATTATGCTTTGTCTTTAATATCATTGTTCTGCCATGATCTGCTTTGCATTGCCTTCCAAGTTGTCCAATTTAAAGTTTGTGGGGACTGCTGAGAACCATAACAATCATAAAAGGCTGTAGGCTGACTGGGCCTTTTATTTTTCAGAATTATCATCTGGATATATTATTTAATAGTCTGTGATGCTTTGAGCTCTGAAACCATTATGCAGTCTTTCCTTGGGCAAGTTTGAAACATTTAATTTTTGTTATGCTACATTTCTCATTTAATTTTGTTTATGTCACAAAAGCACAACAGCACATTGAGAAGAGGTCGGGAGCAGAATGGGAAAAGATGAAGGAGAACAGAGAAAACATGATTTCCCCTTCCCAAACAGTAGCTCAGCTAGTCTTGCACCATTAATTGGCGATCTGTGGCATAAAATTACATTACATCCAAGACATAATTAAAATAAAAACATTTTTCTTGGCTTTAAACAACTATTCTAAGTTGACAGAAACTCTGCCGATCACATCTCCCTGTTTATGGGGTGACACAGGGACAAATGAAGTGCTTAATAATGTGGCATTAGGGATGAAATGGGTATTTGCTCATTTCTTGACTGTGGAATTTCCACAGTTAAAAGTTGGAATTTCCATCCCCTTTGGAACATTTGTAGGAAGAAAAATAGAACCAAGAAGTGTCTGCAATCTTGCAGGAAGCTTTTACTGTTGTTATTTCTGATACAACAAACTGTGTGCTTGTTGACATTCACAGTTGTACAAGATCCCATTTTGGCCTCTTTTTCTCCATAGATTTTTTTTGGGAAAGTTGTGCAGCTTTCCTGAAAATGGTGCTGCCTTGTGCAAAGTTCAGTAGCTTTTGGGGGAAAGTTATGGCAGCTTCCCATCATTGTACAAAAAAAAAATCCCATGTGTCTTCAGCAGTAAGGGAAGAAAACATTGATTGCTCACCACATCCAACATCCCTTGGGAATGAGAAAATAGAGATTTACCATTCCACCATGCCATAGTGGAAGAATTGAATCTGCTTTTTTCTGTTATTGCAGAAGTAATGATTATCTCAATAAGCTAGAATTGCCCATAAGCCACATATGCATTAATCACATATCCAAATTTCACATAATATTTAACAGAGCAGCTTCTCTGAAGGAAGTGGTTTGCATGTTAGGTAGGTGAACAGAATTGGAAGGACACAAGACTTATTAAATATCCAGATCTTTCTTGCTTATGACTTATAGCAACAATTTTCCCTCACTGACTAAGACATTTAGTCTGCTCAAGAAGATAAAGTTGGGCTCTTCTAGGCTGACTCCATTCTGCAGAATTAATGGAGTTTGACATCACCTTAGTTGCCATGGCTCAATGCCTTGGAAACCTGGGAGTTGCAGTTTGTTGAGGCACCTACGCTCTTAAACAGAAATGAGACACTGGCAAAAAATGAAATAATCACAGCTTGAACTGGGAGTGACAATCGGATTCAGCCCTTGGTGCTTGTTGTGCATGATGTCTTTGTCAACTTAGATTAAGGGGAAACAATAAAGGTCTTTAACTCCTGTTTTGGTTCTCGCTGCAAAAAATGCACTTCCAGCTATTTGCTTTGTTTAAAAATTAGTCCTGTTTCTAGTCTGTCATTCAATCTACATAAAAATCTCAATATGCCTTTACCTTGATAGTCACAATAAAAGTGTGAATTCTTGAGTACTGAAATGGAAAACTATAACTTGGCGGCATAGTTGCTCCTTATGCATATCACTACTGCAGGTCTAAAGAGACAATACCAAGTCCAGTGAATGGTCCGATTCACCTCAGGTATTCACAAGCTCAGTTGTGCTCCATTTCCAGTCAGTCAGCTGACTTCTGACCTAAACTGGATTTCAGGTCAGATTAAGATCTTTGTCTGAAGAAAAGCACTAATAGATTCAAGTTCGTGCTTTTCTCTAGAACATCTGATCTAGCTACTCTTTGTCTGACAAGTACAGGCAAAACTCTTTCAAAAACAAAGTTCTCAAATGGTAGAAGCTTAAAGAATGGATGTTGTTAGCCCAGAGAAACAAGTAACTGTCCAATGTATTTATTGGTAAAGTAAATCATCTAGTATGTGTATGTGTAGCTATGAGAAGCAAATGCATATATAAGGATTATCCTGGGAAGGATCACACCGCTATGCCACCAGTGCTAAGGAATATCACACTAAAAGAGGAAGGAAAGTCGAGGAGTAGAGAAGATTTTAAATAATTTGAATTTATCAGACAGGGAAAGATATAACTGTGTATAGCTATATTTGAATGACGTCTGAACTGAGAGGTTTTGTAACTGTTTCTTCAATTGGGTACGCTGCCACCTTTTCTTACTATTCAGGCTGTTATATGTGTGGAGAGTAGGGCTGTCCAACCACGGAAAAAATTTCCCTATCCCTGTTTCCCTATCTTAAGATAGCCACCAGGGCTTCACTAGACCCACATTCTAACTGTTCAGGCCAACATGCTTCACTAGGCCCACATTCTGGCTGCTAAAGGTAAGGGTTCTTCACATCATACAACAAATGAAAAATAAAAATGTCAAGACTCAAAAAATATAATGGGATTCAAGTCTGTATTTTGGATAGATATCTCAATCCAAGTCTTATTCCGCCACCAATGGGCATCCTGATTGCAGTGCGCAAAAGCAGCAGCTGGTTCCAATGCTCCTGTGGATCCACAGTCTGCTTGATTTCTCAGGTGGGAAATGGATAGTAGGCCTGGGTAACAACAGTAAAATTTGTTTCTAAAATCGATTCGTTTTTTGGGGTTTTTTGCGTTTCGATATTTAAAAGAATTCAGAAATTTTCCTTTTAAAAAGTTTGATATTTACGAAATTTCGTTAATATTAACGAATCAATTCGTTAAAATGGCGGACGCGGTTGCGCAACGTGAAAATAATAGTTTTAAATAATAGTTTTAACCTCGGAGAAGGAAAGAGGGGGGAAAGAGAGAGAGAGGAGGGGTGAAATCTCTATTCTGGTTTGACAATGCTTCTCATAATAATAATAATAATAATAATAATAATAATAATAACAAACCACTTTCTGCCTTCGTGCATGTAAGGCACAGTGAAAGCACTACTGAAAGATGGCCATCCATTCATAATAATAATAATAATAATAATAATAATAAATATAATAGTTTTAACCTGGAGAAGGAAAGAGGGGGGAAAGAGAGAGAGAGAGGAGGGGTGAAATCTCTATTCTGGTTTGACAATGCTTCTCAATAATAATAATAATAATAATAACAAACCACTTTCTGCCTTTGTGCATGTAAGGCACAGTGAAAGCACTACTGAAAGATGGCCATCCATTCTTAATAATAATAATAATAAATAATAATAATAATAATAGTTTTAACCTCGGAGAAGGAAAGAGGGGGGAAAGAGAGAGAGAGGAGGAGGGGTGAAATCTCTATTCTGGTTTGACAATGCTTCTCAATAATAATAATAATCATAACAGTTTTAACCCCTGCCCAGGAAGGCAGGAGGTTAGGCAGGCAACAGGCAGGTCTCTGAGTGCTGCACTGCTGTGTCTCTTTGCCCAATGCACGCAGGCCAGAGTGAGGAACGAGGTGAGGTGACGACAGGAGGAGAGGAGAATTTGATCCACTTAAGCAGAGGCCAGGGACCCGGAAGTGGGGTAAATGCCGACCGCTTGCAACCAGGGAGAGGGGAGGGAAACAACTATAAAACTTGCACCAGACATACAGAAATAATAACGAAACAATTACAAAACAATTACGAAATAGCTTTAAAAATTCGTTTCGTTTTTTAGTTGCTCCTGAATGGTTTGTTATCGCTTCGTTATAAAAAAAAAACAAATTACGAAATTAACGAACGAAACCGCCCAGCCCTAATGGATAGGGTTTAGGCAAACAGCTTAAGTGAAGCCATCCTTAATGGAACTCAGAGCAAAATAGGTAGCATAAATGCCACCTTCAAGGATACAACATTCTGCTGATTGTCCTCTTTAATTATACCCCCTTTTTGGTCATTACACAATAATACAGAGTGAACAGATGCAAAGAACAACAGAGATATTGTGCAGAAGAGAGGAGTCAGCTGGATTTAATGTGGGGTAAGGAAGAAAAGTCCACTTCTGGGTACCTATTGAAAATCTTTATTGATCAGCCCTATTCAATTTTGCTTCACATCCTGTGGGTGAATTATGAGAAAAAGTTGGATGTAGCATCTAATTATTTTCCTGCAACAGCAGAACAATGATCATGGCCAGTTTAGCCAGCTTTAAAAAGACAAGCCAATGCTTGCCTACTGCTCCCCAAACTTTGTACTGACCAGCAGGTAGGAAGTTCAGAGAACTGCAGCTGAGAAAAGGGGAGTAGATTTTAAAAAAAAGAATAGCAGTTGTTTTAAAAAAATTGAAATGTTTAGTTTTTGCTACAAGTTGGTTACTTTGTCTCCCCCATCTTTCAGTCTGGGTTTATCCTTAGAACAACATGAAATGTCATTGTTGTGTAAGTGTATTATTTGTATTAGAATCCCCCACCTTTACACTGAATAGTTGATTGTTCATTGTTCCATCAAGGTTGTTACCTTGAATTTGTTTTGGCTTCTCTAAGCACACATATACACTGTTTAGTGGTTGTTTGTATCCATTGAGAACATTTGTCTGAGACATTTCATATTGACTTTCTCACTCCTTGTGGTTTTTTGTTTGTTTGTTTGTTTAGGGAGCGGGCTCTGAACACATCGCAGTCCGGCGTGCTCCAGCTCACAGTAGGGAACCTGAAACCTGAAGAGACCTACACTTTCCGAGTGGTGGCATACAATGAATGGGGACCAGGAGAAAGCTCGCACCCCATAAAAGTGGCAACACAACCTGAATGTAAGTATAATTGTTAAAATATTAACAACAACAACAACAACACCATGCAAATATGGAATAACGTCCTTTTCATCAAAGAGTGGAATGTCAACATGTATAATCATGAACATGGATAATGAAACATATAAAACATAACACTATAAATATATCTGCATGTTGCTTTCTTCTCAAAAATGCTACATACAAACTGTGAGGATTGTTGCTCTGCTAGCATTTTCTTTATCAACTGTACAACTGAAATCAGATCACATTTGCATTATCAGCAATCTGTTTTCTACCAAAGATATCCAGAGAACAGACAATATTGACAGCAACTCCCAGAAATACCAAACTTTCCAAAAACATATGCACTAGGCCTGTGCGATCAATTTAAAAAGTTTCAGTACACATTAGTAAATTAGGGGTTGGGGGTGTGTGGGTAGAAAATCATTTCTAAAGTGTTCTAAAATATCTTAAGGGGTCTTCATTGTTATTATAATGATATAATGCATTTTTCGTTACTTTTTCATTAAGTAATTGTGCCAATGGGAAAACTTCAGGGGCTTCTTTTTCCCTCATTGTTTATCTGGATAAAACTTGCTATTATTGTAGAACACATTTACCATTGTTACTCCCCCCCCCCCCCAAGTTTCACTCATCCACTGAGTTTTGGGGACAGGGCCTTTTCTGTGGTGGCCCCCCGACTCTGGAACACCCTCCCAAAAGATCTTAGACAGGCCCCTACATTGGCAGTCTTTAGAAAGAACTTGAAGACCTGGCTGTTCTGATGTGCCTTTCCAGAATAGGAATCTCCAATAACAAGTCCCATAAGCACTTTATTAGAACTAAGATTGCTGCACGCTGCACACTGCACTTACCCTATAATCCTTACATATCACCTGTCACATCAGCACTTTTAATCCTGTACCCATTACTCTGGCCCGGCCCAGTTTTATAGTGTCTTGATGTATTGTTTATTGCTTGTTGTTTAATATTACTTTAATTGTTTTGATTTGCTTTAGGTGTTGTATTGTTATGTTGTGTTTTGAGGCCTTGGCCTTTGTAAGCCGCATCGAGTCCTTCGGGAGATGCTAGCGGGGTACAAATAAAGATAATAATAATAATAATAATAATAATAATAATAATAATAATAATAATATTTTTACAAACATTTTTTTAAAAGCCTACAAGAACTGTCTCCTTGATTTTGTCTACAATGACACAGGATAACCAGGGCACATTTCCCCCCAAGTTTCAGAAAGATTCACACATCTACTGATTTTGGGATGCCTGTTTTTATTTCTATTTGTAATATTCAATGATTTCTAAAAACATAGTATCCATTTAAGTGGATTCTTACCAGAGATTATCATTCTGAAAAAGTCATATTGTAACTCTACTAATAAATAACCTTAAACTCCGATCAAAGTAGACCAACTCCACAGTCCTACTGCTATACTTTCTTTTGTTGTATTTGATGCATTTCTGATCAGAATTTGCTGACTCAAGAAACCCACTTTGGACTATTTTTCACATATTTTAAAATATTCTTTCAATGTCTACTCTATCCAAAGACAGGGTGGTCCCTGAGTTTGTAAATTATTGCTGAGAAGCCTCCAGCAGCTTCTTAGGCACAGAAGGTAGAAAGGCCAAATGCAAGACTCATGTTTTTATTTTGAGACCTATTTCTCGGGAAATTGGTTTTTCTCCTCTTTAAATCCTGCTCTCCTCTCTCTCTCTCTCTCTCTCTCTCTCTCTCTCCCTCCCCCCCCCCCCCCCCCCCGCAATTTTCTGTTTATCAAACTTGTTTCATTATATGGAAGAATCCACACAAGTTATCACTTGCTCTGTGCTGGAGCATGCCATCACTGATCTGTATTTCCAATGGGATTTCAAGATTTCTGTATCATTTGGAAATACCAAAAGCTGTTATGTAATCTAGCACAGCTGGGAAATAATATCTGACAGAAAGGGGCATCCAAAATGCATGCCTCTCATTTTCTATTTCTAAAATGAAAAACAAAATGAATATAATTTCTACATCTGCAATCAGTTTAAGAGATCAGTACAAGTTCCAGCTCTTCAGATAATTATTCTGAATATGAAGGGTGGTATTTATTTTATTTCAATTTCTCTAGCTCTGTGTTAAATCTTTTCATTTTTCTATATATTTTTGCTAAATCCTGTTCCCTTTCATTTCTTTTCACTCTAATACCATATAATTTAACAACTGAACTATCAGTTAAGATCAAAATCTCCCATTGCCTAAGTATGGCCAGCTTTCTTTCTCTTCATGTGAATGTTTTGTGAGCTGATACTGAGTCATTTCCAGTATGCTTGCTATTCTCCGTGAACAGGGGACAACAAATGGGCATCCGTTTTCAGCTCACCTGGTTCAGGCTACCAAAGTGGCATAACTTTATTCACCCAATGGTAATGATAGCTATTTTTGGACTATAGCTCCCACATTTGCATATTAAATGATCAAGTTGGCTAAGGAACTCTAGTCTTCTCTGCCAGCATGTTGGGAACTCACCAAACTACAATTTTCCAAGATATCTATTATTTCCTCTAATAACAAAATTATGTGGCTTTCTTTAAAAGCCAAAGAGGACCACTCGGTCAAATATGGCACAGGGGTTCCCCATAGTCAGAAAACTGTCTCATGTGTAACAAGGTTAGATACTTGTAAAATAAACAAAAGATTTAAACAAAATTGGAGAAACACATGAACAATTCTAGGGTTGAGGACACTGGTGAAACAAAATGTACAGTTAGGTTATTCTCTGGCAAGGTAGGTTTCCAGTTCACATGAAATTCCATGGGTTTCTGTCTTTGTTGAGATTTTGGAGACTAGATTGAGAAGTGCTGGCCACTCAGCAATAAAATAAGATATACTCATATCATATGCTGTTTGTTTTCTGCTTTGTTTTAACTGGGAACCAAATTGTATTGGCCATGGGAAAAAGAAATATGAAGAAACCAATAAGAGGAGAGACTGTGGGTGCATCTACACTGTCACATTAATGCATATTGACATCACTTTAACTGCCATGGCATTGGGATATTGGAATAATTCCACCTATATATTTAGTAAGAGTTGTACGACAATGGAATATGCTGCCTGGGAGTGTGGTGAAGTCTGTTTCTGGAGATTTTTTAAAAAGAGACTGGATGGCTATCTGTTGGGAGGGCTTTGATTTTGTATTCCTACATGGCAGAATGAGATAAGACTGGATGGCCCTTATGGTCTCATCCAACTCAATAGTTTTATAATAACTTGACTTGATTTTGAATTCCAGGAGAATACTGTAGGGAAAGTTTATGTTCTATCCCAAAGGTATCTCTGAGTTTACCTATATATTCTTGTGGAGGTGAGGAAAGAGATTGCAATTCCTTAACAGAATGAGTTGGGGTAATGCTGGGTTTAGAGTAATCTTCCTTTTACCTTTAATACTGATGAAGGTGACCCTCTTTTTCAGAAAATTGAAGTACCATAATGATAAAGATTTTCTTATAATTTGTAACAGCAGTTTGACAGGTTGGCATGCATGCTGGTACTAGTCGGTGTAAGCATAGTGGGAAGAAGCATCAATTATAACACAAAGTAATTCGATAGAATCAGAGTTTAGCATTTCAAAGTTGACAGTCTGTATACATTTCCAGTATCTTTTTCTTTGTCATCTTGGCATCCTAATTGAATGATGTTTACTTGCTGATTGTGATTCAACTCATCTATGAGTTTTCTTCTCCTAAAGATTTCATAAATACTAATTATGCTTTGTGGGATGATATGCCTTTGAGGTAAGGAAATATTGCCATCATCATTAGTATGTCTCTTTATCAGAAACAGAAAGGCCCATCTGGGTATCCATCTGGCTCTATGTAGACTTCTGTTCAAGCTGGCCATAAACCATGGGAAAATCAAACTCAAAGGAAGAGTAGATTTGTGACCAACACAATTCTAAGCTGAACCAGCAGGGCAGCAATCTCTGTATCTATAAAAGTAAAAGCACCACTCTATCTAGCTTTTCTCAGACCTCACCATTTCTGGGCACCAAAGTTCTATATGGATAGAAAGTGACAAGTTAGAAAAGACACCAAGAAAATGAAAGGTTTGGAAACAAAGTCCTGTCACTCAAAGGAGATGTGATAGCCATGCTTAAATCTCTGAAGAGATGTCACATGGAAGATGGACTAACGCTGTTTCTTCTGCTTCAGAGACTAGAGCACAGACCAATGGATTCTAATTGCAGATAAAAAGATTCCATGTAAACATTAGGAAAAGTATTACAATCATATGAAAAGTTTGATAGTGGAATAGATTGTCTCATAGAGTAGACCCTGCTCCTTTGAAGGTTTTTATGACAATCTTTTGGGAGTGTTTGAATTATGTCTTCTTGGGTCCCACCCTATGATACTATGATTTTATTGTTGCTCCATCTCTCAGAATCTCCCATCTGAGGTGGTCCTCTCATACTGTTTAATGGTAATGAGAACACAGAAATTTGTGGATCTTCTCTACTTTTAATTCTTGGTAATTTCTTAAAGCCAAATCCCGAATATGTTATCCTCATAACACCATAAGAATAGAAATAAAGCAGTAGTTTTCAAATGCACATATAAAATCATCTTTCCACTATCTACCAAGGAAGATACTGAGTGGAAGCTCAGTATGTTTTAGAGTTCATAGAAAGCATTGGCTAGACCTCAATACCACGATTTCCAACTTAGAATCATATCCTGTATCTTTAATTTCAACCAACTATCCTTATACTTTGTCAGCAAAGTTCGGGCTGTTTCCATTCAAGAAACCTGGATAACATTATTGTTGAGGTTCTGGTGTTCCTGTAATAAGCTTCTAGACAACATAAAGGTTCTTTGAAAAGCATTGGATTAATTCCAAGAAAAGAAAGTTCATTTTTTGCCAAGGCTGACACATCATCAAAGTGGGCGGAATGGCATCATAAACACAATCAATCATCAGTGTTTAAGGAACACATCCCTATTAGCTAGTGATG